ATATATATAATAATTAATTCATGTACAATCCTTATGTTTTAATACATGTAAAAACTCAAACTCACTCAACAAGTGTGAAAAGTGAAAAGCATCGTATTCTGCAATTATGAATCAGTTGTACTTTACTGGAATAAGGCATAAACTTATTATGTCTTGTATGTTCAATAGGCCTTTATAAGGTATCAAAGGTTTCTCCCAACTCTGTTTTAAACCAAAGACAACTTAACTTCTTCTCCGCACCTAACCACCACCACCACCACCGCTGCCGCCAGGGAGTGGAGGCGGTTTTGCCAGATGGCGAGGAATGAATGGATCAACGGGTATTTGGAGGCGATATTGGATGTGGGAGCAAATATACAGAGCCAAAAAGGTGTTGATACCAAGATGAAGATAGAAAAGCTTCAAGACAACGTGAAGCGTGATAAACACTTCAATCCCACTAATTACTTTGTTGAAGAAGTTGTTAATAGTGTTGATGAATCTGACCTCCATAGAACCTGGATCAAGGTCTAATCTTTCAATTCCCTACATCTCTTTTAATTCATATATATGTATATACCTTCCAAATGGTCATATAAATTATATTATTTAGATAGTCGTTCATGTTTTATGACCTGAATTTTAGTGTTTGTTGTATAAAAAAAAATCATGTGGTTTATGTGTATATGAGGCGAACACATAACTATTGTATCCTGTTTTTCAAAGTGAGATGCATGCAATAAATATTTTATTTGTACAATAAATAATTATGCATAGATATTTACTAACTATTGAAATGAAAATTGGAGATATATGCAGGTAATTGCAACTAGGAACACTCGTCAAAAAAGCAATAGGCTAGAAAATATGTGCTGGCGAATTTGGCATCTTACCCGTAAAAAGAAGCAGGTTCCTCCCCCTAACCTTCAAAAGACTATCGTTATAATCGTAATAAAAAAATTAAAAGAATAAAATTGATTTTCGTCTACAAGTTCGGTTTTTTTTTCTTGATAAAAAGTGTTTAGACATCTATATGATATTTAAAAGCCCATAACCTTTCGGAGACAAACTCAACTTTTAAGGTGTTGTTTTCTTATTGACTTAGCATTGTGATGAATTGAATTTTATAATATTTAATAGATTGTCGTACCTATTTTACTTTGTATACAACTTTACCCGTTAATTCATATTATGCATAATTCGCTATGAAGTTGAATTAAATATGTTTCAAAAAAAGCATTTTTTCCCATCAAAAAATTTAATGGCTATGAAACATTAAATCCATTCAATGTTAACTTGCATCTTATTATTAAGAAAAAATAACTTAATAGAGAAAGTCATTTTTCAAATTTGTCCCAATTTTTCTTTTTCTTCCATTTTCTAAAATATTTTTAAAACCGACAGATAGCGTTAGAAGATACACAAAAGCTAACAAAGCGTCGTATTGAACGAGAAAAAGGTCGCAATGATGCTGCAGAAGATCTTTTAGAGCTCTCAGATGGCGAAAAAGAAAAGGGCGAAGTCATGCCAGTCAACAAGATTTCAAGAATAAACTCTGAGATGCAGATATGGTCAGATGTTGTTAATCAATCCCGACAACTTTACATCGTCCTCATCAGGTATTAATTAGAATAATTAATTTTTCTCTATTTTTTCAATAAAAGATGATTAATTTATGAATTATGATGATATGAAATGCTTGTTAATTGTCGTAGCATTCATGGGTTGGTGCGGGGTGATAACATGGAGTTGGGACGGGATTCTGATACGGGTGGTCAGGTGAAATATGTGGTGGAACTTGCACGAGCATTGGCTGACATGGAAGGAGTTATCAGGGTTGATTTATTAACTCGACAAATAGCATGTACAGATGTTGATTATGGTTATGGAGAACCCATTGAGATGCTCTCGTGTCCACCGGAAGGTTCCGGAAACTGTGGGGCCTACATTGTTCGTATCCCTTGCGGACCCCGTGATAAGTAATTTCTCTTCACATGTTATGTTATATTTTTTTGTATATCCATAGTAGATAAATGAAAGTATGTTGTTATTTCTTGCATTGAGCCCTAACTTTGAAGCTTCTCTCAGGTATATATTCAAAGAGTCGTTATGGCCTTACATCCCGGAATTCGTTGATGGAGCTCTAAGCCACGTTGTAAACATGGCAAGATCTTTAGGAGAGCAGTTTGATAATGGGAAGCCAGTGTGGCCCTATGTGATTCATGGACACTATGCAGATGCAGGTGAAGTTGCAGCACGTTTATCAGGCTCCCTAAATGTTCCTATGGTGCTCACAGGACACTCACTTGGAAGGAACAAGTTTGAGCAGTTGTTGAAACAAGGGAGGCTTTCTAAAGAGGATATTAACTCAACTTACAAGATAATGAGGAGGATTGAAGGTGAAGAGTTGGCATTAGATGCTGCTGAAATGGTGGTCACTAGTACAAGGCAAGAGATTGAAGAGCAATGGGGTTTATATGATGGTTTTGATGTTAAGCTTGAAAGGAAACTTAGGGTTAGGAGAAGAAGAGGAGTCAGTTGTCTTGGACGATACATGCCTAGGGCTGTGGTAACATCACAATCTTTTCACCATTTCACTTTATTATACTCAGCTCTCGATCTCTCATTTGAGCAAAAGACGTGAATGCCCTCTTATCCTCATCATCGAAAATAGTCCTATAAAGCTTTTTATGTCCTTTATTAATAAGTACCAACTAAATGTTGATCTAGACTAACATTTTTTTCATCATTGACAATATAGGTAATACCACCAGGAATGGACTTCAGTTTTGTCAAGGCCGAAGACATAAATTCACTAGAAGGTAATGGGGATCTTCAATCGATAATTGGGCGTGACAAAGCTCAAAATAAAAGGGCAGTACCTCCAATATGGTCTGAGATTATGAGGTTTTTCACAAATCCACACAAACCCATGATCCTAGCATTGTCTAGACCAGATCCCAAGAAAAATGTCACCACTTTGCTCAAAGCTTTTGGAGAATGTAAGCCACTTCGAGAACTAGCAAACTTGGTATGACTTATATCAGTCTATTACATACATATTAGATGTCAATGTGCAAAAATAAAAGCTAAAATATGTTTGGAAAATTATTAATTGCAGACACTTATACTTGGGAATAGAGATGATGTAGAAGATATGTCGAGCAGTAGTGGGGTTGTTCTTACCACAGTCCTGAAGCTAATTGATAGGTATGATTTATATGGACAGGTGGCATATCCAAAGCATCATAAGCAAGTTGAGGTACCTGAGATATATCGTCTAGCTGCAAAAACAAAGGTAACAAACAATCAATAAAAATTAGTTGTTATATAGAGGTGTTTTTTATTACTACTTTATATGACATACTTCTTTCTTGAAGGGTGTTTTCATCAATCCAGCTCTAGTGGAACCATTCGGCCTGACAATCATAGAAGCATCAGCTTATGGTTTGCCAGTTGTTGCTACAAAAAATGGTGGGCCCGTAGATATACTTAAGGTATACCTTTGAAGTTTGAATAACTTCAAATAATTACCAAAAAGCCATCTCTAACAAAAACTCATGGTTGACTCAGGCGCTAAATAACGGTCTTCTAGTGGACCCACATGATCAAAAAGCCATTGAAGATGCTCTATTAAAGCTTGTTGCAGACAAAAACCTATGGGTCGAGTGTCGAAAGCATGGCCTAAAGAACATCCATCGGTTTTCATGGCCGGAACACTGCCGGAATTACCTCTCCCACCTTGAACATTGTAGAAACCGCCACCCCACCACCCGTCAGAAGATCATACCTACCAAAGAAGAACCAATGAGTGAATCATTACAGGGTGTTGAAGATCTTTCTTTGAGATTCTCTATAGATGGTGAAATTAAGTCCAATGGAGACCTAGATCCAGCAATTAGACAGAAAGAACTAATAGAGACCTTAACCAAAATGTCTACCAATAGAAAACCAAACCCTAGTTACAGTCCAGGAAGAAGGCAAGCGTTATACATAATAGCTGTTGATTCTTATGATGTCAATGGGGACCCCACAGAGACCATGTCAATGATAATAAAAAATGTTATGGAACTTGCAGTTGGAAAGCCTGGGGAGATTGGGTTTATATTATTGACAGGGTTGAGTTTACAGGAGATAAAGGAAGTATTGAAAAGATGTGAAGTGAATATAGAAAGTTTTGATGCATTGGTTTGTAGTAGTGGAAGTGAACTATATTACCCATGGAGAGATCTTGCAGTTGATGAAGACTATGACAACCACACTGAGTATAGATGGCCAGAAGAGAATGTGAGATCAACAATAGTGAGGATTGCTAGGCAAGAAAATGAGGAGGATGACAACATGGTGGAACAAATAAAGACATCCAGCTCAAGCTCAAGGTGTTACACATACATAATCAAACAAGGAGCCAAGGTACTATATTTATATTTGTGTTAAACTAACAAAAGTAAGTTGTTTTGTACTTAATATAAATTAATAATAATACTTACAATGATAAATATATGTATTCAGACAAGCAAAGTGGATGATCTACGTCAGAGGCTACGGATGAGAGGTTTTCGTTGCAACACTGTCTTCACACATGCTGCAAAAAAATTAAATGTGATACCATTATTCGCATCAAGAGCTCAAGCATTAAGGTATACAACATAATTTCTTGAATATGTATTAATCGACTTCTTTTTTGCATATAGGCTTGTAGTTACCAGATTTTGTTTTATCGAATGTATGTAGGTATCTATCAGTTAGGTGGGGGATGGATCTCACCAAAATGTTTGTATTTGTGGGAGAAAAGGGGGATACAGACTATGAAGACCTCCTTGTTGGCCTTCACAAAACCATTATTCTACAAGATTCGGTGGAATATGGAAGTGAGAAGTTTCTTCGTAGTGAAGAGAGCTTCAAGAAGGAAGATATGGTCCCTCCAGAAACCTCTAACATTGCCATTTCAAAAGGGTATGAAGTCGATGATATAAGTGAAGTTTTGGGGAATCTTGGGATCAATTGACTTCTTTGTAACTATATTTTACTACATTAATTCCAGTCCCTGTATATAGGAAGGACATGGATATACGCCATAGATACAATAAGTAGCATTTAAATTGTAATTTACATAAAAGAAATAAATAATATACATAACTATATTCAAACATGTCGATTATCATAGTAGAGTACTTGCATAAAACAATATCAAAATCATACTTGTTGGAGAGTCGTTTTGGCTTCCCGACTTTGACTAATTGGCAGGACATGTTCAATTTAGGTCACCAGAGTAGGAGACGGAGATGGTGGGTGAGTTAAGAAGAATGAAGCGAAAATTCACAAAAATATCATACTTCTTTAACAAAATAAAAAACCATTTATTTCTAAACGAAATATTTTCGTATATGAAATAAAATAAAAAATATATAATAGTTTTCTGAAGGGAAAATGGCTTATAGGCCCAACGAAGTTTTCAAACCGTTCAAAAAATCTCAATTATGTTTTGTCTGTTCAAGAAAACCCAACGAATTAACATTTTGTCTAAAAAAGCCCAACTAACTTACACTTCTCATTTAGGGTCAACCAGCTAATGAAAGTCAACGAATGACATGGCTTATGTCGTGTAATTAAATATCGAGAAAATAACTTGTAAGACCAATGAAGTTTCGAACCCGTTCAAAAAACCCCAATCATGTTTTGTTTGTTAAAAAAAACCAAAGAAGTTACGCTTTTGTTTAATTCTCATTAGAGGCAACCAAATTCATTAGGTATAAAATTAGTTGGCAAATGACATGACATTATATTTAATGACATGGAATAAATAGATTAGAATTTCCCTTTATATATCGATTTAGGGCTTGGAGAAGAGAAAAACGAGCGGCGTCTGTCTTCGATCTCTTATAATAGCTACTTCTTATTCTTCCTCTCAATCGTTGATCTCCAACTCAAGATCTACAAAGAAGATATTTGATGATGAAAACCCTTGTGGATGTGTACGCCCTTCTTGGATTTGGACATAGAACAGAGGATCATCCAAAGAAAAAAGTTTAGGGCTTGTTCAAACAGATGGGGAATTCTAATATGTTTAATCTGTGTCGTTAAATATAATGTCATGTCATTTGCCAACTAGTTATATACCTAATGAATCTGGTTGCCTGTAATGAGAATTAAACAAAAGCGTAAGTTCGTTGGATTTTTTTAACAAACAAAACATGATTGGGTTTTTCTGAACGGTTTTGAAACTTCGTTGGTCTTACAAGTCATTTTCCAATATTTAATTACACGTCATAAGTCATGTCATTCGTTGACTTTCATTAGCCGGTTGACCCTAAATGAGAAGTGTAAGTTAGTTGGGCTTTTTTAGACAAAAGGTTAATTCGTTGGGTTTTCTTGAACTGACAAAACATAATTGGGGTTTTTTGAACAGTTTGGAAACTTCGTTGGGCTTATAAGTCATTTTCCATTTTCTGAAAGTTTCTTTCTATTTTGTTATTTGCATGTTTTTTACTTTAAAAAATAATATAGTAAAACAAAACTATTTTTCGTGATTAATGATTATACACTTGTTAGTATTGTCATTCGATAATTTATATATACTTATAAATAAGCATTTTTCCTTTCACCACATTCATTTGAAACTCCCATGAGACATTTCTACTCAATCTATATTCATTTGAAACCTCATATTTGAATGAATACCACTCAAAAGTCTTTTAATAATGATTAACCATTCAAAGGTATTATAACTTATATAATATGTTTAATAAGCAATTAATGGATAGTCTACTATAAAAGGTCAATCTCTTTGAGTAGACACACAAATACGAATCACATACAAAATTCACAAAGAAAACAATTTTAAAGGTTTTTGTCTTGGTTTGAGGGCTTTGGACCATTTTTCGAGCCATCTTATTATGTTAGAGTTTTTAATTTGTAACTTTGTTATATACTAATTCTTTTTTTTCTTGGTTTAAGTATTCTTTTAAGACAATCATTGTATGTTGTAGTTGAAATTCTGCGGGTGTAGCCGTAGCATTCACTAGCAGCCAGATAGTATTAGAGTGTTGTAAGTCTGCGGGAGTAGCCGTAGCATTCACTAGCAATAGATAGTGATAAAGTGTTGTAAGTCTACGGGTGTAGCCGTAGCATTCACTAGGTTAGTAGATAGAGTGAGTGTGTTGTTAGGACGCGGGAAGGACAGTAGTACCCCACCAGTTTGGGTATAGCAGTGAGGATATGGAAATCCACATATTGGATTTTGGAGTTTCCCAGACGGATTAGACCTGGTTAAGCCAGTTATAAGACTGTAGAAGCGCCACTACAGAGAAGAGAGCAAAGAAGCAGTGGACTGCTTAAGGTCATTTATGACATAAGGCTACCAATGGTCATGTAGCAATCACTTTTAGCTTTGGGTTTGGTGATGTCAGGATTCGACGCATGGAACCAATCAGTTAGATCAGAAGGCCGTTAGGGCCACAGTGACAAGATAACTAGTAGCATCTAGTCCAGAGGAGGATTTTGTTCAGAGATCGGGTGAGACGACTAAATATGGAGTCCTTTGGCTCCGGAGCCGAACTGGAACCGGGTATTTCAGATGACTGATGAACAATTTGAGACGAGGGAGGTCTTGGTAGATTCTGGAAGGTAGCCAAGGCGCAACATACTGCTTCAGACAGTTCGGTGTTTCAGGAATTTCAATGCTTCAGACAGTTCAGTGTCTCAAGCAGTAATGGTATTGTGGGATTTCATGTATGGTTAGAGTCACAGACAGCTTGGGATATGCTAAGTCACTTACAGCAGGATTATCTGAGTTTTGGCCAGTATAAGTGAATCACAAGGATAAGTGGATATGTGATTTTGTTTTTCTAGTGGGAGCTTTGAGTTATCAAGAGATCAGTAGGCAACTGAGAGACAAGTAGAATGGATTCGACAATAATGGTTCAGTAAGAGTGGTCTGTCAGGGACTTAGACCATCTCGAGACAGCAGAATTCAGATGAACTAGATGTGATCTTGTTGCGAGGAATTAGTTCGCCTGCAGATGTTAGGGCTTTGTGATGATTGGTCACAGCTACCCTAAGAAGGCTAGGGTGTGCCCGGGATGGTGACCATGTTACTTGAGTAGTTAGCGTCTAAGGAATGGTAATGAATGATTTCGAGGGCGAAATCTAATTTAAGTGGGGGAGAGTTGTAACGCCCCGTTTATTTAAATAAATTAATAAATGTAAGTCCCAGACTGATTTGCGAAGAATTTTAGATGTTAAGGGTTAAAAGTGTAAATTCCAGATTAGTTTTGTAAGTATTTATGAAGGCAGGGAGTAAATGGTAAATTCTGGACTCAAATTGTAAAGATTTTTGGAGGCAAGGACTGCTTGGTAATTATTAGGATTTAAATTGTAAAGATTTTGAAGTAATGGGGGCTAATAGATAAGTTTCGGATTTAATTGGAAATGAATTTGGTGGGGAGGGACTAATCTTGGATAAAGGAATGGAAGTTTGAATGGACACGGGATATACCTGTATCCCTTCCCCACATCGCATCCTAAAACCCTAGGATGCAATACTCCAGTCGCCGCCATGAGAGCTCCTAGGCCGCCGCTTCCCGTCGATTTGAGCTCCACCGTTCGCATGCTGCCTCGCCGGTGTGAGCCACGACGACCCCTGCTACCGGAGACGGAGTGTGAAGCCGAGTTCAGCCGCCATCTCTTTCTCCTTCTTATGCGTTTTCTGATCAGACGAGGCCGCCAACGACCATCTCGCCACTAGAGCGCCGCCGCGACGCTGCTGCCGGCCGGAGACGTCAGGAACAACTCGGAGGACCACCGAGGAACGAGGAATACGTCGTTTTCTTTGCTGCTCGAGTCGCGAACTGCCGAAAAGCCGCTGGTAGGGTCATATACCGTTTCTTTTTCCCATTCCTTCGTTCTTTTCGAGTTTTGGTGTCGTGATTGACGACTGTGGGTTTGTGTGGTGTGCGTTTCAGCTTCAAGTTCGTGTGTTGTGTTGCTGCGTGATTGGAAGCCAAAAGATACCACTGCCACCACCGTGAGGTGGTGGCTGCCACCATATGTCGCCGTGTAGGTGCGTTTTAGTGTGTGTATGAGTGTTTTGATGAGTGTGATATTGTATGTAATAGTTGGTTGGCTGGAAATTAAAGAACCGCCACCACCACCACCGTGAGGTGGTGGCTGCCGCCACGTACCACCGCCGGCCACCGCTAGGGTGGCTGTGTGTGTGTGTGTGTTAGTTAGTTAGTGTGTGTGTGTCTATTTTGGGATTAAGCTTTGTAACTGTAATTATCAATGAATAATAAAAATAATAGTAACCACCGCCGTAAGGTGGTGGCCGCCGCCGTGAGCCGCCATTGACCACCACTACCCGAGATGGTAGTGGGTGGTGCCCCACAAGCAAAACCCTAATGGACCTAGCCAAAACCCTAATGGGCTTAAAGATTAGTTTTGGGCCTATTGGGCTATGTTTGAGTGGAAACCCTAATTAGGGTTTAGAAAACCCTAATTGTGAGTAATTGGGCCTTAGACTTATTGGACCCACTTTTGGGCTATTGAGATTGGATTGTGTATTAAGCCCAATTTCTCCATATCATTAATCTAGTAGAGTAAAGGACTTAATATTAAGTCCTTAATGGGTTAAGTAAGAAACACTTAACCCTAATCGTCATTTTATGTGAAACCCTAGTTTCACTTGGGCCTTGAGTTGGGCCTTTCGATTGGGTTTTGGTAATTGGTTTATTAATGGGACATCCAAGAATAATCAAATGGACTAGAGTAATTAGTTGGGCTTTAAGGTAAGGCCCATATGAAGGATTGGGCCCAATTTGGAAAATTAGGCCATAGATGGGCCATAGTTTGGGCCTAGATGGTTGTATGATATTGGGCCCTTAGAATGAGACATGTTGGACTGGACTGAATAATTGGGAATTAAGGGAAGTCCATGTAGAGGTTTGGGCCCAATTTGGAAAGTTGGGCCATATGTCGGGCTTTGATCCCTAGTTGACTTTGGGCCTATGGATTGGGCCTTGGGCTTGGGTAAGCCAAGCTAGGGGTAATGTAGTAATTATCCAAAGTATGCATTTATAGTTATGTGTTAGAACCCAATTATTA